ACATTAGTACAAAAAAACTACATAAAACAAAGTTAAGAAGATAAATTTTACATACTGGTACTTATAAAATATAGTAATACTATGGTTTGTTCTTGTTCTGGATTTTGAACAACTTATTGAATGTATTCAAGAAATGTGGTATATATAATGAATATGAGTTATTTGATATAAAAGTAGAAAGAATAATGATACATATATACAAACCGAAAGGCGTATCAATAGATAAGCATAGTACACAAAAGGTAAAAGTATTTGATGAAATTTAGATTTCTTCCTTTTCTTTGGAAATGATCAATATACATTATTGCTCAAAAAGGGGTAGGACTAGATAAGTTTTATACTTCTTCCTACTCCTTTGAACATATAACTGTGATGATGTTTGTATTACTTACTTTTACTTTTATTTTCCTTTCATAATTTTTGTTTGCACTTTGTCATGTTATTGTATGTTTTATATATGTTCAATAAATAAACAAACAAACAAACAAAAATAAACAAACAAACATTTCAAAGTCCCGATTTCACGTAATTCATTTTCCATTTGCCGATTTTGCTGACAACGAGCACCCTTATAATGTAAACGTCATTATAGCGACCATATTTTTCACACAAAATACTGAAAAGGCTTTCATTACAAGGGACTGTGGGAAGCCAACTGCTGCTGCGACCTTGCTTATGGACAGAATATACAGCGTGGGATTCCCCTCTGTTGCTTAGCAACGCTACTGATCGACTCAGTACTTTGTGGTACTTTCTGCCGTAACTCACGGAGGCACGGCGTGGTCCTGTGCACATGGTCTGAAAACATGTCTGGTAAACGGAAACAAATCTCGCTGTATGTGAAGGCTGAAAGTGAGGGCACTTTCGAAAGGGAGTCTCACTGAAGAAGCCCATCCGAGACTACGAAGTGACAGTTGGCTTTGTCGGTGGCACTGGTGGTTGCCTATGGCGGGTAACATTTGTCGACTGAACATTTTCAGAGATGAATTAGAAACACTAGAGTTGTTTGTTTCATGTCTTATCAAATTATTTTCACTTCATATGGACTGTATTTATAACTGGCGCGTTCATATTGTATTACATGTTCATGTTTTTACATCTCTAAATGTTCATACTGTACTATACATCGTGGTTTGCGGCCATTTTATTGGAAATGGTTACAACAAACTACCGTTACAAGGTACAGATTCGTGATGTTCCTTGAGGCACGTTGAAACGAGGTTCGAGTGGAGTCCTTCAGTTGAGGTTTCCTGTAAATCTGACACATAAAACGGAAGAGAATTAAACACTGCACATTTGTACACCAAAATGTTCCATCAAACCATGTAATTTTGTCTTCGGTAAATCCACTAACCTATTGCTAACATAATGTGATATGCCATAGATGCACATACTGCATTGGAAATTATCATACATTTTACAGTAATTATAACCCTTCAAATAACTGCTACTTGCACACTTAGCAGCAACACATAAAGAGATATTACAACAATACTCATACTGTACGTATCAAATCATATGATGCTTGCTCTATGCAAAACAATGAATATTAAATGGCAAAATGTGGTACTTTATTTATTGCGCTGAAGGGACATACTCTTATCATTTAACTGATCTTTTTTTCCCCCCATCAATAACTGCATGACATATTCTGATTATAATAAGCACTCTTACCATTTTGTACGGTGGCCGAAACGGGTCACAAAAACTGTAACTGCCACAGCAAATGCAAGCGCCGCAACACAGCAACACACAGCCATAGCCCAACGGAAGTAACCTACAACAAAAGTGACCCTGTATAATTCGAAGATGAGCAAAGTTGGAAAAAAAAGTACAGTATGTGGAAAAGCCCCCTCCCTCCAATAGATTGCTTTTCATTTACTTTTTCGCAAAGACACTCTTAAGGTATTACGAGTGAGGTTCACTAACATACAATTGCATCCATGATATCTTTTTCACGCTAAGCAGTCACATGACTGACATGTTGCAGTGTTTTCGTAATTACCTTAAACAAGGGAAATAGTGATGGGATGGGGATCAACAAATATACAGTAGAAACGGACAGACAGATGGACACACACACGCACACACGCACACACACGCACACGCACACACACAGACACACACACGCACACACACACACACACACACACACACACACACACGCACACACACACACACACACACACACACACACACACGCACACACACACACACACACACACACACACACACACGCACACACACACACACACACACACACACACACACACGCACACACACACACACACACACACACACAC